CTCCATTGCCTCTTGTCACAGATATGGTCGATCTAATTCCTTTGTACTCCCTCTGTTGAAGTCCACATGGATAGCCATTGTTTGTGTTGTTGAAGAAAGGTATTTACAATGAACAAGTCATTGATTGGTCTTGCAAAATTGTGTCATAAGATCTCCAGCATCATTTCTATCACCAAGGCCATATTTTCCAACTGTCTGGTGATTCTTCTTTGTTTCCAACTTTTGCATTCCAGTCATCAGTGATAATCAACACATCTTGATTGCATATTTGGTTAATTTCAGACTGTGGAAGTTGGTAAAAATCTTCAATTTCCTCATGTTTGGGTTGGTGGTTGGTGCGTAAATTTGAATAGTAGTAGTATTAACTAGTCTGCCTTGTAGGTGTATGGATGTTACCCTATCATTCATAGCATTGTACTTCAGGATAGATCTTGAAACATTCTTTGTGCTGATGAATGCCACACTATTCCTCTTCAGTTTGTCATTCCCAGCATTGTTGTTGTTGTTGTTTGCCACTGTGTTGGACCCAACTTATAGTTACCCTTCCTTGGGTTTCCAAGGAGGTATCACTATGGAAGTAGATTGCCCAACCTTCCTTCTGAGGAGTGGCTGGTGGGTTTGAACTGGTCCCGAAAACTTCACTGAATCCACATCTTTAAGGTTGGCTGTGCTCTGAGGAGGCAGCTCTTCCCCAGTTGCATTTTTAGTGCCTCCTGATCTTAGGGGTTCAGCTTCCAGCACTATATCAGACTGTATTTCAGGGCTATTCATAAAGTTTTCCAGTAATATAGCAGACATTGTTTCACTGCTATTCATAAGGTTTTCACTGGCCAATTCTTTGAGAAGTGGATGGCTCCTTCCTTTTTCAGAGTCTGTCTTAGTCTGGAAGCTCTGCTGAAACCTGTTCACCGTGGGTGACCCTGCTGGTATTTGAAAAACCGGTGGCATTGCCTCCAGCCTCACAGCAAAACGCAACCCACTGCAGTACAACAGACTGACAGGCAAGTGGTGCCAATCTTGTATATGTATACATTACTGTAATTGCTGTCAGTAATATGTATATAATCTTGTATATGTATACATATTATTGACAGCAATTACAGTAATTAGCTGTGCAGCCCTACCCTTAATCGATCCAATATTTCCATCACCATTAACCCTCTCTCTCTCACCCCTGATAACCACTAACACATTTTGTTTTCTATGCATTTGTCTTTTTTTTATAAATGAGGTCATGCAATGTTTGTTCTTTTGTGATTGACTTATTTATAACATTTGGCTTAATGTCTTCCATCTTTATCCATATTTGTAGCATGTATCATGACTTTAGTTCTAGTGGCTGAATCATATTCCATTGTATGTATGTACCACGTCTTGCTTATCCATTCATCTGTTGATGGGCATATAGATTGTTTCCACCTTTTGGCTATTGTGAATAGTGCTGAAATGAACATTGGTGTACAAGTCTCTAAATGAGTCTGCAGTGTAGTAAATTACTTAGTATGGCTTTTCTACCCATAAGTCATTGTAAACTCAGTGGTGGAATGAGCAACTGAGGAGCTCCTGATTGTAAATATTATCTACCTGGGCTTTTCTGTTGGGCGTGGCACAATGCAATGTTATGGGAGGCTCACTCTCAGGTGCTTAGAATTCTGTTGTCATGATTGGTTGGTTTGGCCACTCTGCCAATCTCAAAAGGAGGCCTTCTAGAGGCAGAACTCTCTCTGACTGCTGGTTGAGGAAGATGTGCTGCAGAAAGAGACCCGTGCTGCTGGGAAAGAGATGCAAGAGACATGCATTGCTGAGTGAGACACCGAGGGACCAGTGCTGCTGGGAAAGAGACTGTGAGAGACTGTTGGCTGAGGGACAGTGGGCTGGGAGAGAGGCTGAGCATTTTTCCTGAACTCGAATTGTAGCCTGTGGTGCTTCCCTAATAAACCCCATAATCTGTGATCTCTGTGTGGCCACTGCAGCAAATTAGCGAACCCAGGAGAGAGGTGGTGGGTGCTTTGGGAGGAATGGTTGGAGAAAGGGCTGGAGGGAGGCAGCATGTCTGGCCTGGCAGGAATAGGCCTTGGGTTACTGATGATGACTCTGTCTTCCTCTTGTGGGATTAGAGGAGGTCAGAATATGTGGCCTCCTTGCCCTTTTTGTAGAGTCTCAGCTTTCAAGTCTTTTGGGAATATACCTTGGAGCGAAATTGGTTGGTCATATGGTAGTTCTATGGTTCTGGTGGTGCAGTGCCTAAAGCATTTGACTGCTAACCAGAAGGTTGGTGGTTCAAGCTCACCACCCACTCTGTGGAAGGAAAATAGGCAGTCCACTTCCATAAAGATTTACCGCTTTGGAAACCCAGTGGAAGTAGCTATGAGTCGGAATCAACTTGATGGCAGTGAGTTTGTTTTTTAATGATATTTCTATATTTAGTGTTACGAGGAACCACCACACTGTTTTCCATAACGACCGTATCATTTTCATTCCCGCCAGCAATGGGTAAGGTCTCCAATTTCCCTACATCCTCACCAACATTTATTATTATCATTATTATTTTTAATCTTAGCCATCCTTGTGGAGTGAAATGTTATGTCATTGTAGTTTTGATTTGCATCTCTCTGATGGCTATTGATTCTGGCATCTTTTAATGTATTTGGTGGCTATTTGAGGGTCCTCTGGTAAATTGTCATTCAAGTCCTTTGCCCATTTTATGATTGAGCTGTTTGTCCTTTTGTTGTTATGTTGTCAGATTTTTATATGTATTTTGGTTATTATTGGATACATGATTTCTGAAGATACTGGTTTTTTAAAATTTATTATGGTAAAATATATTTTAAAAAGTTTCAGTTTTAACCATTTTTAAATTTAGCGTTCAGTGGCATTAATTACATTCACCATGTTATGCTACCATCACCACCATTTCTAATCTGATTGATTATTTAAAATATTTTATTGTGTTTTCCGGCAAGGTTTACACAGCAGTTGAGGTTCTCATTCAATAATTTCAGCACTAGTTGTTTGGTGACATTGGTTACGTTCTTTACAATGTGTGAACATTTCCATTTCCCTTCTGGTTGTTCCATTTCCATTAATCTGGTTTCTCTGCTCCCTTAGCCTTGCATTCTCATCCTTGTTTTAAAGGAATTTACCATTTGGTCCTATATAGGTGATTATTTTAAAGGACCTCAGTACTGACTCAAAAATACTAGTTTATTTTTGAGTCAGCCAGTAAGCTTCAAGTTGATGTCAGGGGTTAGTTTTGGTCAAGGGTTTGAAGAATATCTCAGGATAATAATCTCGGGGAATCCTCCAGTCTGAACCAGTGCAGTTGGTCTCTTGATTTTGTTATTTATTTTAGGAATACGAGATTCTGTTCCACATTTTTCTCCCACTCTGTCAGGTTCCATTTGTTGTGGCCCCGATTAGAACAGTCAGTACCATCTAGTTCTTCTGCTTTTGGGGTAGATGAGGCCAGGTTTTTGTAGACTGTTTGTCCTGTAGACTAGTTTCTTCTTTGAGTCTTTTTTTTCCTTCTTTCTCTTTTGGTTTGTATGAGTAGAAACCAATAATTGTATCTCAATAAGATGGCCATTCACAAGTGGATTTTTTTTTTTTTCTTCCCAATTCCAACTCATAGAGATCCTGTAGGACAGAGTAGAATTGCCCCATAGGGTTTCCAAGGATATAGTTTTTTTTTTTTTTTTTTTTGCAAGCTTATAAATCCTAGACATTACTTACCAAACTAAGATGTAGAACCTGATTTACTTTTAAAAAGATCATTCTGGCTGATTAGTCTAGTGACCAGTTAGGAGGCTCCTGTAAGAATCCAACGGGAGATGGTTGTACCTTGGACCAGAGTGGGAGTTGTGGATGTGATGAGAATCACTTATATTTTTATCAGGTTTTGAAGGTAGCCCTGGCGGATTTTTGATTGAATGTGGGATATGAGGGAAAGAAAAGACAAGAATGATTCCAGAGATGGCATAATTAGAATGGAGTCAAGAGAGAATGGTAGGAGAGGATTTTGGGACAGAGTATAGACAATGGTATTGAGAGACTGCATAACTCTAAATGCTCTGAAAAATGAGTAAATCTGATATAAGAGAAGTGTAAGGGGCTTTAAAAATTATTTAATCTCTTCTACTTCTTTCAATGTTAATTTACTCTTTTTTCTCCTGTGTACATAGCTCATTTCATAGTTATGGTCTCAAATTTATAACTTCTTTTGTAATGCTAAAAACGATGAGTATTAGTTTTAAATATTGATACTGATAGAGATGGATTTATTTATTAAGTAAAGAAAATGATGAGGGAAGTGTGGGAAAGGCACGTTAGCTCCTCCAAAGGCTGCCGCATGGGGGTGTGGGGTACAATGTTGGATGACCAAGCTCCACGTTGCATGGATGGTGGGGAAGATGGCTCATTTTTCTGCAGCTTGCTGTGGTGTTCCAGGAAGGACCTCCTCCCCCTGCCTTGCTGCTTAAGAACCACATGCAGCATATTAATCTGTAGTAATCACATACAAAAATTCTCAGAGTATTATGGTTCCAGCGGTCCAAACAGTGAGGCTGTTGTCGTAATCTAGGCCTGAGTTAGGAAGATTGCAGTAGAAATGAACTGAAAGGGGCAGATGATAAATATTAAGGGAAAAATAAATGACACATGATGCAGAGCCTGTAGAACAGTGGTTCTCAAACTTGAGCGTGCATCAAAATCACTTGGAGAGTTTGTTAAAAAGATTTCTGGGCTGGGCCTGTAGAGTTCCTCATTGAATGTGTCTGGGTTGGGACCTGAGAATGTGCATTTATAACAACTTCTGAGGTGATCCTGCAGGTGCAGGGACCACACTCTGAGGATTACTGTTGTAATTATTTGTAGTTTATTTTTCACACCCATATTCTTTGTGTGTGATATAGAGTAAATACCAGTACATGAGATATGAGCTAAGTTTTCTAATTAACTGTTTTTTTTTTGTTTTGTTTTGTTTTTATGTGTTTTTTTTTTAGGCCAAGTGATGATATTAAGAATAATTCAGCATACAATATTGAAGTCATAAAATTACTGGATATCGAAGAAAGCATTTGGTCCCCTAGGTTTGGATTAAAGGGCAAAATAGATGTTACGGTTGGTGTGAAAATACATCGAGGGGGTAAAACAAAGTTTAAGATAATGCCACTGGAACTTAAAACTGGCAAAGAATCAAATTCTATTGAACACCGTAGTCAGGTAAAAAACATTAATAAAATTATCTGAATGTTTAATGTATATAAAGATATACTCTATCTGTATTTTGGTTCAATTCAGGCTATTTTTATTTGAGTTTTATACAGTACTTTTCGGTTTTTAATACCTCTAGAATATTCAAGAGTATCGTGCTTGGTAAAGTGGAGGGTCAACGAAAAAGAAGAAGGTCCTCAACGAGATGGATTGACACAGTGGCTGTAATGGTGGGCTCAGGTGTAGCAAGGATTGTGAGTCTGGCATAGGACTGGGCAGTATCTCATTCTGTTGTACATAGGGTTGCTATGAGTCGAGCCGACTTGACGGAACCTGACAACAACAATTCAATTTATTTTATAATGTATATATACCATAGCAGGAATTTTTATTCAGTGTAGTAATGCCACAGTTGAATTTGTAAGCCATTGTTGCCAAGTATATGCTGACAAACTACCAGTCTGCATATGCTGCAAAAAAGAATAATAATAATAATTCCTTGGTCATATAAGTTGGGGAAATACAAGTATATTTGGAGATTTCACAATGCATAGTAGCATATTAAAGGTTCTAAGAAATCTGAAAGCAATACCATTTGTTTCAGCTGTGTTTAACTGAAAGTTCCCTAAATCTAATTTCTCATGGAGCCATTTTTTCAAGTAATATCTACTTGGGACACTTTAGGAAACATTGGTGTAAATTCATTCTTTTTTTAGCCTTTTTAATTCATACTCCTCCTCTTGATAAACACAACAGTCTTTTGCTGTCCTTTACATTTATTTGAAATCCTTATTATAGTTATAATGATTTAACAAATCTAAGCAATTAGAGGCTTCCCCTCTTAGACTGTCTGAATTTTTTACCTTGATAATACAGAAGCGTGTAAGTTATAAACTAACTTAAAGGCAATCCCTATTTTATTAATGGATTTTATTCCAAAAGTTCATTTGTAAGTCATTACTCTGGCATGTGAAACACATTTTCCCAAAGGAAAAATGTTATATGGAGCTAGGATTCCCACACCAGCTACCAAAAACCTATTTAACTGGTAATATCATTGAACTAATATTATAAAATTGAACCCAACTGCTTTTTATCATAATATTGAGATAATTTAATTTCAAATTCCTAAAGAGAGATTTTTCCTTCTTATTAGTCCTTGAAGCAGAGAACTATACCTCCTCCTTCTGTCCCAGTTCCCATGGAGAAAAAGACAACATGGAAGGACAATTAGGTTTAAGTGGCTCTCTTGGTCCATAGCCACAAGACTATCTTATGGTTTATGAGTTCACTTTATTTTTTAATTTTTATCTTTATTTATTTTTTAATGCAGTTTATTGAAATAAATTTCTGTACAGTGAAATACACAAAACTAAGGTGACATGTGTCAATGCATTTCTTTTTTTTTTTTTTTTTGAAGTGTTCCCTCCCCTCTCCTCCTACCCCTGGCAACCAAAAAAGAAAGTTTCCCTCCATATATAAACCTTTCCTTGACCCTCCACAACAATGAACTAATACTATATTTGTCCTTCTGTGATTGACTTATTTCATAAAGTATAATGTCCTCCAAGTTCATCCATATTATGCGGTGTTTTGCAGATTCTACATTATTCTTTAGTGCTGCATAGCATTCCAGTATGTATATGTACCATAGTTTGGTCATCCACTCTTCCACTGATGGGCACGTAGGTTGTTTCCATCTTTTTGCCATTGTAAATAGTGCTGTGGTGAACATGAGTGTGCATATATCTGTTCCTGTCTTGGCTCTCACCTCTCTAGGATATATAGCTAGTAATGGGATTGCTGGGTGAAATGGTATCTCCAATTCCAGCTTTCTAAGAAATCACCATACTGCTTTCCACAGTGGTTGTATCACTTCACAGTCCCACCAGCACTGTATGAGAGTCCCAATTTCTCCACATCTCCGTCAGCATTTGTTATTTTCTGTCTTGTTGAATGTTACCATCAGTGCTGGGGTGAGCCAGTATCTCATTGTTGTTTTAATTTCCATCTCTCTGATGGCCAATGATTGTGAGCATCTCTTCATGTATTAGCTGGCCACCTGAGTATCCTCCTTGGTGAAGTGTCTATTCATGTCTTCTGCCCATTTTTCAATTGGATTGTTAGTTGCTTTGGTGTTGAGGCATTACAGTTTTCTATAAATCTTAGAGATTACTCCTTTGCCAGATATGTAATGATTGACAAATATGAATTTGTTGCTGTCATTTTTGTTATGTACTTTTTTGTGGTGTCGATTTCTTTGTTCCATGTAATATTCTACGCTGAGCTCGTTTTGTTTATGAATCGTGTTATCACTTCCTTCATTGCTATTGTTTTAGTATTTGCTAAATATTTGTGCTGGTCCTCTTTTTTATTTTGATGTGAAGGTTTATCATTTTTCTTTGAGGTTACCTGTGATTTATAGTTTTCTTCCCATGTTTAGAACAGTCCATTCTATCTTGTAGTCATCTTGACTTCCCTACCGTCTAGAAGTTCCATAACACACAGTTTTTCCCCTCTTTTTGGTTTGTTGTTGTCCTCATTTGTCAATTGATGTCTCTGGTTCCCTGTTTACAATCATGTAGGCTTATTTACTTTGGATACTTCCATAGCTGGGTTGGTTTCTGGATTATGTCATCATGTATGTTAATTGTCAGTTGTTGTTGGCTGTTGTTGCTTCTCTGTCCAAAGGGCTCTGTTTAGCATCTCTTGTAAGGTTGATCTGGTTTTAACAAATTCCCTTAATTTCTGCTTACCTAAAAATGTCCTAATTTCACCATCATATTTGAGGGAAATTTTGCTGGGTACATAACTCTTGGTTGGAAATTTTTCTCTTTCAGGGTGTTATATATACCATCCCATTGTCTTCTCGCCTGCACGGTTTCTGTCGAGAAATCCGAGCTTAGTCTTATTGGTTGCCCCTTGTAGGTAACTTTTCATTTTTCCCATGCTGCTCTCATGATTCTTTCTTTGTCTTTGGTTTTGTTAAGTTTGATGATGATATGTCTGGGTGATTTTCTGTTGGTTTCTATCCTGTTTGGGGTTCGTTGGACTTCCTCAATGGATATATTCTCATCTTTCATCATACCAGGAAAATTCTTTTCCAACAAATCTTCGACAATTTTCTCTGTGGTTTTATTTAACCCTTCCTGTTCTGGAATTTCAGTTACATGTAGGTTATTCCTTTTGATGATATCTCACATGAACCTTAGGCTTTCTCCATTTTGTTTTGATCTTTTTTCTGATTGATCCCTTTCCAAAGAAATATTCAGGTATTTGCCTTCAATCTCACTAATTCTGATTTCTATTGATGCAATTCTGCTCCTTTGCCCATTCAATGTCTTATCTATTTCTGAAAATTTAGTATTAATCATCTGGATTTCTATGTGTAGATTTTTTATCATTTCTAATTTTTCATTTATTTTGTCATTTTGTTCTTGTATTGTCTTTCAAAATTATTGTAGGGTTTTCTCTGTGTTTTCCTTGATCTGTCTCTCATTTCATTGGAGATACCTAAATATAATTCTTTTGAATTCCTTATCAGGGAGTTCCAATGCTGCGTCTTCCTTAGGGGTGTGTGTTGGGTCTGTATCCTCGTCCCTTGTTTCTCCTGCTTTATCTTGCTTCTTTGTGTTGACTGTGATGCTCTGTTGTCTACAAGACATAGTGACATTTTTTGTGTTATAAGTAACTGGTGATTGTATGTTGGAGTGACTTGCCGACGATTTTCATTTTCTTTGTTTTGTTTGTATGTTATCTATGCAAGCAGGGTACTGTGCTCTTCTATTCGCTGGTTGACAGCACTTATACACTCACCACCTGTCTCCTTTCCTGTTGTCAGTCTCTCATATATCCCTGCTGACCTTGGCAAACAGAGCCTATTTATTCTTAGGTCCCTGGAATCCAAATGAGAATGCTATCACTTTAAAATCCAAAATGGTTGCCATTTGTAAAGATTCAAAATGGCTGTGCCCTCAGTCACTTTAAATATTCAAAATGGCTGCCGCTTGTAGACATTCAAAATGGCTGTGCCCTTGGTTACTTTAAATATCCAGAATGGCCACTGCTTGTAAACATTCAAAATGGTTGTGCCCTTGGTCACTTTAAATATCCAGAATGGCCGCTGCATGTAAATAATCAAAATGGCTGTGCCCTCCAGACAGCGGAAAGTGAACAGCTCAGGTTGTCTCCCTCCTTGCCGTTTCCCTTCCTAGTCATAGGCCACCAGCACAGTTGTCCCTGCAGCCCTTGGTGACTAGGGTTGATCTTTAGGTCAATTCTCAGGTCCCAACATCACTTGGAAATACTCAGGCTGTTGGTCCCATCAGAGTAGCTGACAGTCTGCAGCTCCGACCATCTCTGTTCTCACTGTTTTCGTTCAGGTTTTCCCACTAGTTGGTGTCTAATCCACTTCTGCATAGTTCCTTTCAAATCTCAGGGCTCCAGGATTATTTTCTGTATCTCTGTCAATTGGTTTTTTTTTTTTCTTTGTTGAAAAGTGTCTGTGTTGCTTGTCTGCCTATTCCTGCATCTTACCAGAAGTCCCTCATAAGTTCACTTTAAATAAATAGTTTTATTTATTTGCTACCTCTGCTGTGTAAGAGACCACAGGTAGGGTGCTTGTAAGATCTCCCAAATCATACTTCAGAGCCTCTGATGTTAAGCACTAGCTCTTCATAAGAACCTTAGGTATGGAGACAGATTTAAGAGATTAATCTTAATATCAAACTTTGGAGTGAATGTTTCAGTTATTTCACTTTGTAGACACTTGAAGTTAGCATAAGTGTTTCTATATAACTGTCTTTGAACATTGAGGCATCTGGAATTGTATTTTCTTTGCAAAATTTATATGCAAGGATTTCTGCTATGTTTCTGTCGCATTTATTTGTTGTAAAAGCACCACTGTTTTTGATATGAGAGGAAAACAATCAATGAAACTTACTTTTGTAATTTGTAAACCTGCCTTGGGCACTCTTGGTTACTTAGTACCACTCTGACAAGAATATATCACAAATGGGATGGATTGAACAAACAGAAATTTATTCTCTTACAATTTTGGAGACTTTAAGTCTGGGTTTAAAGTGCCAGGCTCTAGAGGCTGGGTGAAAGCTCCTCAACCTTGGGCTTCAGCTCTGCCTCTTGTTCCCAGCCCACTTAAGCTAGAAGCTTTTCTTCTCTCAGATACCTGTTTGCTGCTGAGGCTGACAAACACAAGGTGGACAAGTAAAAAGGCACAGTCCCAATGTTACCAAACAACATGGCAGACCGTTGATTCAAGTCCATTGAAAGTCCCACAAGTACCAGAGCATGGCAGGCTGCTGAATGACTCAGCTACATGCAAGGTTTAGGCGTGCCATAAGCTAGAGACCATTCCCAAAGCTGGTGCTTATATACAGGAAGCGGACCACATTCCTAAAACAGCTACTCAGCTGCTTGTGGTAGATCCCATCATGGAGTTGATTGCCAGTCTCATCATGGGGAACACCTACCACCAGCTGCCCAGCCACTCCACCAGGCCCAGCCAAGTTGACACAGAACCTTAACTATCACAGGCAGTTAATGATATGTTTATAGATACAATTAGTATTTATGCTGCAAATAATATTTTGTATGTTACATTTTAAATATAGCTTCTTCTTGTTGTTAGGTACCTCAAGTCGTCTCTGACTCATAGTGACCTTATAACAGCCGAATGCAACACTTCCTGGTGTTGTGCCAGCCCCACAATCCTTGCTACACTTGAGCCCATCATTGTACCAACTATGTCAGTCCACCTTGTTGAGGGCCTTCCTCTTTTTCCATTGACCCTCCACTTTACCAAGCATGACATCCTTCTCCAGGGAATGGTCTTACAACATGACCAAAGTAAATAAGATGATGTCTGGCCATTCTTGCTTACAAGGAGCATTCCAGCTGCACTTCTTCCAGGACGGATTTGTTAGTTCTTTTAGCAGTCCGTGGTACTTCACCAACACCACAACTCAAAAGCATTGAGTCTTCTTCGGTCTTTGTTATTTGTTGTTCAGCTCTCATATGCATATGAGGTGATTGAAAATACCATGGCTTGTGTCAGGCGCACCTTAGTCTTCAAGGAGATATCTTTTTGCTTAGAAATACAAATATTCTTGTAGCTTAGAAATAGGAATATTATAACATTTTGACACATGTAACCATGTTAATTATAATTACTAGACTTGGTATTTTAAAACTTTATGATTTGAAGCCTCATAACATTTAATTTTTCAGTCTTGGAGATCTCTTGGAAAACAGATCAGCTTGTCATTAGGGTGCATATGACTCCAACTAAATGTCTATCTCTTGCTGCTAAAGCTTTTTCTTGAATTGAAGGAGCTATTGCTAATGTGTTTTAGATGGTTTCTCTGAAGAGCACCACATCAAACTAATGTATTTAAAATGATTCCTCAAGTTCTGGAAGAAACAGAACTCTCTGCAGGGTTAATCTAATTTATTTTTCACTTTAACTGTGGCATCAATGACATGCATTTTTAGTGTTTATTCACTCATTTTAAATAGGGAAACTGGTATCTAAATACTATTAACTTCAAAATGGAAAACATAGTTTAATTTCCCTCTTTAATTTATTGGCCATCTAAATATTTATTGTCTAAGTAAAGCTGAGAAGCATTAACTATATTTGTTTTGTGGAAATAAAATTTTTGACATCAAGCATGTGTTACCTCTACTAATTCAGCTCATGTTATTTTCAAAATGGAAATAGCTCACTTGACCTTTTGATTTTAAAATTATAGTATGTTTTGGTTGGGAGCTCTGGTAGCGCAGTGCCTAAGGCACTTGACTGCTAACCAGAAGGCTGGCAGTTCAAACCCACCAGCCACTCCTTGGAAGGAAGGTTGGGCAATCTACTTCTGTAGTGATGCAGCCTCGGAAACCCAAGGAGTGGTC